CACAAATGAAAAAAAAAAAAAAAACTTTTCCTGATTGGCTCATTTTGCTTAGTATGATGTGTCCATTTCCCAGAAAATGACATAATTTAGTTATTTATGACTCCTTTATGTATATATGTCATATTTTCTTTAAAATTTTACTAGTTATTTAGGTTAGTGTACCAAGTTATGGGTTTCATTTTGACCATATTTTCAGTGTTTATTCATAGGTTAATCCCATAACATAGTGATGGTGACTAGTGCTGCAATAAACATTGCATACACACATGTCTCTGTGGTATGCTCACTAAAATTTGAGTATGTGCCCCAAAATTAATTGGGTCGTGGTAGCACTTTTGTATTTTTTTTTTTTTTTGTGTGTGTGTGTGTGTGTGTCTGTCTGTTTGTAGGAGTTCATATAACTTGTCTTCAGCCTCTCATATTTTGTTGTCTACGTACTTTACCCAATCTACTAGCCTATTGATACTTTTATTTATAAAATTTTGTTTTTGACTATTTCTTTTTTGAATTCTTTTTTTAAAGTTATCAGAGTCATTTATATTCTCTTTTAATTTATTTAGAAGTTTGTGTGCGTGGTGTGTGTGTGTGTGTGTGTGTGTGTGTGTGTGTGTGTTTATGCCCTGCTTGACTTCATTGAATATTCTTATAGTCATCCTTTGAATTCTCTGGGATTTAATCTTACTCATTCTGACTGGAATCCATTACTTGGAATTGACAGTTTTTGGAGATGTCATGTTGTCTTAATTTTTCATGTTTCTTATATTTCTGATGGAACATGGACCTCTGGTATTAGCTTACTGATTTAAAAATGGGGGTGGGCATGGTGGCACTTGCCTTAAATCCCAGTACTCGGTAGGCAGAGGCAGGTCAGTCTTTGAGTGTTAACTGTGTATGTGTTCTACAAAGAGAGTTCTAGGACAACATAAACTGTCCTCCCCACCCCCCAAAAAAAAACTTGCATGTTCTCCCTGTATTCTTTCAGTTAACAAGTTTGAGATTTTCCAATATGACTAGGTTGTAATAGAGTTGTATTATTTTTTTTCTCATATAGGATATATTCAATGGTTCTGTAGTAAAATCCTCAGTTTATGTTCTCTGGGCAGTGGGCACGATCTCAGAATCTTTCCAAGATGCTGAGGACCTCTAGAAAGTATAGTAATAACCTAAATCAAAACCAACTTCTACTTCAACTCCAGTAACTTTGGGGGGTTAAGGAATGAGGCTATTAGGACAGGAAGGAAAATAAAATAAGTAAGCATAGTAATCTGTGTAAGAGCAATGGAGAAATAATAGAAGAGGTAAGGCGTAAAGAAAAGGGGGCCTATAAACATGAGACAGGTGGCTTCAGATCCAAAAGAAACCTTGAACAAATGGCTAACTGTGGGGCCTATTGGTGTGCTAAAAATCATGCTGGCATCTAGGCTCTCTCAGCATTGCAAGTACCTGTTACAGAGTCCATGCTGGCATCCTGCCTCCTTTCAGGTCTTCTCACCCTCTCTCTCTCTTTCTCTTTCTCTCTTTCTCTCTCTCTCTCTCTCTCTCTCTCTCTCTTTCTCTCTCTCTCTCTCTCTCTCTCTCTCTCTCTCTCTCTGTCTCTCTGTCTGTCTCTTTCCCTTTTCCTCTCCCTCTCCCTCTCCTCTTTCCCCCAAGCTTCTTCTTAGGACCTGGTTCAGTCTACTGGCCATGCTCAAGCTACTACTTTCTTTCTCTCCCTGCTTTGGACTCTTCTGGATACTTCTGGCTATACTCTCCCTCATAGCTACAATAAAAAACCACCCTCCCCTTAACCATACCTTGGATCAGTCATGTCCTCACTTACACAGGTAGCATGAATAGTGGAGTGGATAGAAACTTGCACCCATATCACCTAAAACAGTCCCTGTGCCTGAGAGACTGAGGCAGGGAGATCTCCCACTCCAGGATAGCCTGGGTACTTTGGGAAGTAAAGTAAGAGAGAGTGGGAGATTGGGAAGGAGTGAGAATTAAAATTAGATAGCAAATTGTATTTGTATCTATGCAGTCACTGTCATGAGTACTGTTGTAAACTATTTCGTGCCTTGTGTGTGTAGGAACAGAGTCTCTCTGGTCACTTGTGAATGTACAGATGCACACTGTCTCTCTGTGGTCCTTCACATGTGCAATGGCTCTATTCAGTCACTTGCTTTAGAACAGATGCAGACTGTCTCGTATGATCTCTGGCATATGCACAGGTAAAGATGTTCTCTATGCTAATGGTTATTAACTTTCTAATGCTATGATCCTTTAATATAGTTCCTCATATTGTAATGACCCCAAACAGAAATGTTTTTCATTGCTACTTTATAATGGTAACTTTGCTACTGTTATGAATCAAAATGTAAATACTTAATATGCAGGATATCTGATATGCAGCCCTCAAAGGGGCCATGACCCACTGGCTGAGAAGCGCTGCTCTATGCAGTTACTACATGTGCATTGTCTCAGTGCCATCATTTGTCTTAATGTAGGTGTGGATTCTCTTTCTATGCTATCTTGCTTTTTCTTCTCTGGCTACATGGGATGGAGCATAGCCTTTCTGGTATACAATTCCTGTGTTGGTTTTTATATTGTGTGCATCACAACCACAGAGTGTAGTCTGGATTAGGCAGTGGGTCTTAACTAGAGGTGTGTTTCAGTCTCTAGGAATTGGACAGGGCTGTTAGTAATTTTACCAATGATATGCCT